CCGGTTAGGATTAAAGATTGAATTCTTTAAAGGAAAGTATCATCTTGGAATTCCATAATAGGAAAGTATCATCTTGGAATTCCATAATAGTCATGCACGTTGCAGTTCATCAACAAATATGTGCTGAATAATTGAGCAAATGTCAGGTTTGTCTAGTTACTTAATATATGCCTAAAGGAATAAATATTAATGTGAATTCATTAAAGATCTAGAAATATTTATAAAGACAAGTTTTTCAGTTTTGAAAGAATGTAGAGCATAATATTGTTAAAACTATGAGAAATTCAAAAGGAAACAAGAAGTCATGCAATTAAAAAAGATTTTCTTAAAATTCCCATCGTAAATCCATTGGTTTTAAAAATTAAAATTTAGAGAATTGCTTAGTTATCAGTAATTAAGAATATAGTTATTTTTAGACTTCTCTTGGATTGATAGTTAATTTCTATTTTAATGATGGTTTAATTTTATTTCATCTTAATATTGTCCGGTATTCTAGATTTTTTTATTTAAGTGATGCAAATGTTTAGACAGTCTTTTATAACCTTTAAGAAAGGAAACCTTCTTAACCTTCACTAAAATACAGACCGATTCTCTTTTTTTAAAATGATACTTAAAAAAAATTTGGAATGGGAGATATATATGTAAAGAAAGGAGTGGAAGCAGTCTATATACTAGAGGAGGGTGACAGAAAAAAATATAATCCAAATATTGCTAGATAGGTAACTGGCTTTTAATGATCTCTTGCTTCCACTGTTTACTCTTCTAGATTTTTTTTTTTTTTTTTTAAGTTTATATTGAGGGAGAGAGAGGGAGGAGGAGCAGAGAGAAAGGGAGAGTGAGAATCCCAAGCAGGCTCTGCCCTGGGGCTTGATCCCACACCCATGAGATCATGACCTGAGCCTTAACCAGCTGAGCCACCCAGATGCCCCTCTTCTAGATTTTCTTCCTCAGTGGATCAGTCTTCCCCAAACCAGCTTACCCTTCATTGGTTTATCCAGTGAACTCGAATCTCTTAAGCATCCAAAGCCCTTCTTTTTTTCTATTTTCAATTTTTATTTTAGATTGTGACAAAATACACATAAGATTTACCATCTTAAATATTTGTTTTAAATGTTTATTTTGAGAGACAGAGGGAGTGTGCACAAGTTGGGGAGGAGCAGAGACAAAGAAGGAGAGAAAGAATCGCAAGCAGGCTCTGCACTGTCAACACAGAACCCAACGTGGGGGCTCTATCTCCTAAACCGTGAGATCATGACCTGAGCTGAAATCAAGAGTCAGATGCTCAACTGACTGAGCCACCCAGGCGTCCCCATCTTAACTATTTTTAAGCATACAGTTCAGTAGTGTTAGGTTTATTGTTGTGCAACCAGTCTCCATAGCTTTTTCATCTTTCAAATGTGAAACCCATACCCAAATGTGAAAAGCATACCCATTCAACAACTCCCTATTCTCCTGCCCTCAGCCCCTGACAACCACTGTTCTACTTTCTGTTTCTAAAATTTATCCGTGATACTTTATATAAAGTGAAATCATAGTATTTGTCTTTTTGCAGTTGGCTTATTTCACTTAGCGGGTGTCCTCAAGGGTCATCCGTATTGTAGCATCTGTCAGAAATGCCTTCCTTTTTACGTGTGAATATTTTATGTATATACCATATTTTGCTTATCCATTCGTCTGTCAGTGGACATTTGGGTTGCTTCCACATTTTGGCTATTGTGAATAATAGTACTGTGAACATGAGTGTACAAATTCTTCTTGAGACTCAAGTCTTCTCTTAAAAAAAAATTTTTTTTTTTTTAACGTTTATTCATTTTTTGAGAGACAGAGAGGGACAGAGTGGGAGCAGGGGAGGGGCAAAGAGAGAGGGAGCCACAGAATTTGAAGCAGGCTCCAGACTCTGAGCTGTCAGCCCAGAGCCTGATGTGGGGCTCGAGCTCACGAACTGCAAGATCATGACCTGAGCTGAAGTCGGACGCTTAACCAACTGAGCCACCCAGGTACCCCGAAACTCAAGTTTCTTCTTAATACTACCCTAAAACTGGGGCGCCTGGGTGGCCCAGTCAGTTAAGTGTTCAACTCTTGATTTCGGCTCAGGTCATGATGTCATGGTTCGAGAGGTTAAGCCCTGTGTCAGGCTCTGTGCTGACAGCACGGAGCCTGCTTGGGATTTTCTTTCTCCCTCTCTCTCTGGCCCTTTCGTACTGTTTCTCTCTCTCAAATAAATAAACTTAAAAATACTACCCTTGGGGTGCCTGGGTATGGCTGCTTCTCATATCCTTACTGGACTGCTGCTATTATGAATAAACTATATGCTTTTGTGCTTAGACCTTCAGTGCTTTTACCATTGTTTATTTTTAGGGTAACTTCCTTATTTTCCTTTTGTACTGTTCTTTCAGACCCTTTTTATTTTTTTAATTTTATTTTTTATTTAAAAAAATTTACATCCAAATTTGTTAGCGTATCATGCAACAATGATTTCAGGAGTAGATTCCTTAGTGCCCCTTCCCCATTTAGCCCATCCCCCCTCCCACAACCCCTCCGGTAACCCTCAGTTTGTTCTCCATATTTATGAGTCTCTTCTGTTTTGTCCCCCTCCCTGTTTTTATATTATTTTTGTTTCTCTTCCCTTATGTTCATCTGTTTTGTCTCTTAAAGTCCTCATATGAGTGAAGTCATACGATTTTTGTCTTTTTCTGACTAATTTCACTTAGCATTATACCCTCCAGTTCCATCCACATAGTTGCAAATGGCAAGATTTCACTCTTTTTGATTGCTGAGTAATACTCCATTGTATATACATACCACATCTTTATCCATTCATCCATCGATGGACATTTGGGCTCTTTCCATACTTTGGCTGTTGATAGTGCTGTTATAAACATGGGGGTGCATGTGTCCCTTCGAAACAGCACACCTATATCCCTTGGATAAATGCCTAGTAGTGCAATTTCAGATCCTTTTTTTGAGATTGTCTCTGATGTGTCTTCCCACTTTGCTCAGATCTGGACTCTTCACTTTAATGCCCCTCTTGTAAATTGTGAGATGTTGTACATTAAATAATAATAACAGCAAATACTTACACGCTGTTGATTATATGCCTGGCACTTACATATATTAACTCATGGAATCACAATTCTCTGTCGTATGAACTATTATTCCCATTTTTCAGATGAGGTACCCGAAGCACAGAGAGATTAAGTCAAGGTCACATGCTAGTAGATGCCAGAGTTAAAATCTGAGCCTAGTTAACTTTGGCTTCAGAAGATTTTTTTAATGTGGTTATCTGAAATGAACTAGTTGTATTAAATTTATCTAAAAATATTAGGAATACAGTAGAAAATTCTTTTTGCCCCATCCTGTCTGAACAGTGGCCGTGCGGTAGACTGGGGTAAGCACAGTTGTGGTCAGAGGCCTGCTGTTGGAGAGTCCCCCTTCCACTTGCAAACTCTGTTTTGTGGTTCATATCAACCTTTCTGAACCAAACATTTTTCATGTCTGTGAAGGGGATGATATCTGATGGAATTGTTTGTACACATTAAGACATTTAAAAATACTAGATATTATTTTTAACTAAGTTCATCTTTTGTTATACACATAATATTTTATTATTATTTTTTTTTAACATTTATTTAGTTTTGAGCGAGGGACAGAGCATGAGTGGGGTCGGGGCAGAGAGAGAGAGGGAGACACAGAATTTGAAGCAGGCTCTGGGCTCTGAGCGGTCCGCACAGAGCCCGATGCGGGTCTTGAACTCATGAACCATGAGATCATGACCTGAGCCGAAGTCAGACGCTTAACCAACTGAGCCACCCAGGTGCCCCTCACATGATATTTTAAATTCCAAAGAAAATGCTTTGTGACTCGGCTTGGCTCTAGAACAACTATTTTTTTTTCTTTCGCCTTCATTTAATATTCTATAAAGAAAATTACTTTTCAGTTCCTTTGGTTTAAATTTTCCTGAATCAATCTATTTCCAAATGTCTTTGTTTACACATCCATGTCTCTATTTTCTAACATCAGAATATTGTCCAAGGTCCCAACCAGAATTCTTAGGAACAGTTGTGCATCGGATGTGACAATTGGAGGGTTTGCTGCTCTGCACTTCTGCCTCGGTAAATTGTTTACTTGTGAACTATAGCCAGGATTCTTGTGTTGCAGGTAGTTTTCTGCAACAACTTGAATGTGTACCTAAACAAATAAATAATCTAAGTTAAACCACTGTGCCAAAAAGGCTTGAATAAACTTGCATGCTACATTCTTTTCCTTCCCAAACATTTGTGTGACTTGCTTCCTCACTGTATACCTGTGCTCTTCAGAGAGGCCTACCCTGCCTTATCTAAAATCGCTGCTCGAGTTGCTCTCTGCCCTCATGGCCTCCTTTAGTTTTCTTAAGAGGATGGGATCACTTCCTGACATTTTATTATATGTTGTTTATTTTCATTTTCTCCCTTTGAATGTAAACACCGTGAGGGTGGAGATAGTTTGCTGACATACTTCTAGCACATAGAACGGTATAGGGGGGCTCCTGGGTGGCTCCATTAAGTGTCTGACTCTTGGTTTCAGCTCAGGTCACAATCTCATGGTTTGTGCATTCAACCCCCATATAGGGCTCTGTGCTGACTATGTGGAGCCTGCTTGGGATTCTCTCTCCCTCCTCCCCCCCCGCCCCTCCCTTGCTTGCTCTCTCAAAATAAATAAATAATCTTAAAAAAAAAAATAGTATAGGTACATAGTAGGTACCCAGTAAACATTTGTTGAGTAAATGAACAAACTTCAAAGTAGGAGAAAGGCTTGGGCTGTGGAATTAGACCTGTAGCCAAATCTCAGTTCAACCACATACTAGTTATATGACCTGGAACAAGTGCTAGGCTTCAGGTTTTTATTTTTTTGTTTTTTTCCATAAGACATAATAATTTCACAGACTTAATAATTTCATAATCCTGAACATTAAATGAAATAATGCACTTAAAAATTAACTTAGTAATTGAGTAGTCAATGTTAAGTAATAGCTGTTGCTATTCTAGGGGTGCCTCAGTGGCTCAGTCAAACATATGACTCCTGATTTCAGCTCGAGTCATGATCTCATGATCTGTGAGTTCGAGCCCCTCATGGGGGCTTGAGATTCTCTCCTTCTCTCTGCCCCTCCCCTGCTCACGGTCTCTCTCTTAAATAAAACTTTAAAAAAAACTTTGAAAAAATCTAAAATATTAGTTCTTAACTTCCTTAGAGGTCTTATTTTATAGTTCTGAGTTTGCAAGGTTTTGTTTATATTTTTCTAGGGGACTCAATGAAATTTCTGCTTCAACTTTTGCATTTTGTTTTACATATTTTTTATTTTATTTTTTAAATTTTTTTATTAAAAAATTTTTTTAATGTTTATTTATTTTTGAAGGAGAGACAGAGTGTGAATGAGGGAGGGGCAGAGAGGGAGAGGGAGATGTGGAATCTGAGGCAGGTTCCAGGCTCTGAGCTGTCAGCACAGAGCCCGATGCAGGTCTCGAACTCACAAACCGCCAGATCATGACCTGAGCCAAAGTCGGATGCTTAACCGACTGAGCCACCCAGGCGCCCCTATTTTATGTATTTTTTATTTTATTTCAACTTCTTCTGTAACTATTATTAGAATATCACTGAAATATTCTTAAAATAAAAAGCAAGATTTTTCACCCTCAGCATTGTGGACATTTGGGGACAGATCATTCTCTGATGGTGGTGGGGCTGTACTGCATTATGAAATGTTTAGCAGCATCCCTGATCTCTACCCAAAAGAATCCAGTAGCAACCCCCCACCCCTAATGGGGTGACCAAAAATGTCTCCAGGCAGATGTCTGGAAGGGCTTTGCCCTGGATTATGAACCACTGATCTGGAGGAGTTCAAATACTGAAGGGATGAAGTGCATATTTGAGATACCCAAAGAAGTAAACTTAAAAGAATTTGGTTTTCTTTATAGGACTATATTTCACTTGATTTGAAATATACAAATTTCTAGCAAGAAGGTAATAGCCTGACCTCTAGAGAATTTTTTTTTAAAGAATAATGTATCATTATGAAAGGATTACTTAGGAATGTTGATGTATTTATCATAAGTACCTGTAATCTGCAGATAGATTCTATTTCACATCTCCAGTTTTAATTATGCTTTACTTATACCACCCTTTTTATATTTAGGTTAATTAAAGAAAATAAGAAGCATCAGGAGCTCATCTTAGACATTTGTTCAGAAAAAGACAATTTAAGAGAAGAATTAAAAAAAAGAACAGAAACAGAGAAGCAGCATATGAACACAATTAAACAGGTAAAAAGACAAAAATCTTTAAAGACTATACTTCAATTTATAAATACATTCCTGAAAATTTGTGTATAAATTGAAGTTATTTAAGCTAAATTGTATTTTAAATGCAGAGGATTGATTGGTATATAAAGCATTCTTTTTTATGAAGTGGAAATTATAGCCTGATTTTTTTTCTCTTATGTAAATTTAAATTCTTACAAGACATGTGAGTGTATTCTATATATAATAGAGATCAGAGGAAAAAAGGATTCAATTTGGTAGTAAGAAAGACTATTACCAATTAAGGGTGGAAGTAATATATACCTTAATGTTAGTATGTGGCATTAGAATATTTTTAAGCTTATAGTTTAAGATGATTCCATTCTCAGTATTATTGTGAACTATACTGTGAAGATTGGCTCTCCTGCTTCAGATTTTATCTGGCTAGCTGGCTTCTCCAGTTTGTCTTTCCTCTTTTTCTTTCCTTTAAAAATTTTTTTTAATGAACTCTGATGCATGGATTAGCAAATTGAATATTCAGACTAGTAGCAAAGCTGAGCTGCTCTTTATTTTTCTGAGCTGCTTTTTTTTTTTCCCCCCCTGTGGACAGGATTAGAAGCATTTTAGCCTTAAAAGTCTTTCCTTTTGTCTCATCCTTCACCAAAAGCTATATAATGAAAATAATAGTAAACAATTCATAATAATAAAAAATTAAACCAAGGTTCATTTGCTTATGTTTTGGTATACTTAGTGCATTATTACAAAGTGATTGTATTTGTACATTTTACTTATTTAATCATTATTTTTATATGCTTTAGAGCTACACCACATGCAAACCAAACTTAGAATTTTAAAGTACGAGGGAGTCTTAATAAAGGGCTGAAGCCACATGTTGGTAGGCAGGTCACTGCTGATGACCAGAAACTTCAGATTGAATAGATGGGAGAGAACCAGAGTTGTTCATTTCATGAACCTGTTATTAGCCACATACAGCCACTGAGCACTTGAAAGATAGCTAGTCCAAATTAAGAAATGCTATAAGGTAAAACAGACACTTAATTTTGAAGACTTACTATAAAAAAGAAGTAAAATCTCTCAACTTTCCATGTTGATTATGTGTCAAAGTGATAATACTTTGGACACATTAAATTTAATATTTCAGTTTTTGCTTTTTAAAATGTGTCTACTAGAAAATATAAATTATACTATGGCTTGTATTCTATTGGACAGTGTCACTCTAGGTAATTTTGTCATAAGGAAAATTAGTGCACGTGTTCCATAAGCTAACATTTAGGGATTTTTTTTCAACAGCTTTATTGAGATATAATTTACATACCATACAGTTCACACACTTCAGATGTACAGTTTAATGGTTTTTAGTTGTACATCTTTTACCACTACAGTAAACTATTTTATCACCTCCCAAAGAAACCCCATACCCATTAGTAGTCACTCTTTATTTCCCTCTGAACTCCTTCCTTCCCCGAGCCCTAGGGAACAACAATCTACTTTCTATGTGTTTATCTCTTCTGCGAGTTTCATATATATGGAGGGATGTAACATGTGGCCTTTGTGTCTGACTTCTTTCAGCATGTTTTCAAGGTTTCATCCAAGTTGTAGCATGTATCAGTTCTTCATTTCTCTTAATGGCTGAATAATATTCCATTGCATAGATATATAGCATTTTGTTTGTCCTTTTATCAGCTGATGGATATTTGAGTTGTTTCTACTATTTGGATGTTAAGATAATGCTGCTATGAACATTCATGTACAGGTTTTTATGTGATCAATTATATGCTTTCATTTCCCTTGGCTGTATACTTGGGAGTGGAATTGTTGGGTCATATGATAATTCTATATTTAAGTTTTTGAGGAGCTGCCAGACTGTTTTCCAATGTGGCTGCACTATTTTGCATTCCTACCTGCAGTGTATGAGAGTTCGCTTTCTCCACATTCTTTTTTTTTTTTTTTTTTTTTTTTTTTTTTTTTTTTTTTTTTAATTTTTTTTTTTTTTCAACGTTTATTTATTTTTGGGGCAGAGAGACACAGAGCATGAACGGGGGAGGGGCAGAGAGAGAGGGAGACACAGAATCGGAAACAGGCTCCAGGCTCTGAGCCATCAGCCCAGAGCCTGACGCGGGGCTCGAACTCCCGGACCGCCGCGAGATCGTGACCTGGCTGAAGTCGGACGCTTAACCGACTGCGCCACCCAGGCGCCCCACCACATTCTTGCCAATGCTTGTTGTTACTGGACTTTTTGTTTTGTTTTTGTTTACTTAATGTTTGTTTATTTTGAGAGAGAGAGAAAGAGCATGAGCCAGGGAGGGGCAGAGAGAGAATCCCAAGCAGGCTCCTGCTGTCAGCACAGAACCCAACACTTGGCTGGATTTCATGACCATGAGATCATGACCTAAGACAAAATCAAAAGTCTGACACTTAACTGATTGACCCACCCAGGCATCCCTGGACTTCTTAATTATAGCCATCCTAATAGGTGTGAAGCAGTATCTCATTGTGGTTTTGATTTGCATTTCCTTAATGACCAATGAAGTTGAACATCTTGTATATTTCTGGAGAAATACCTATTTAAATTCTCTGCCCATTAAAAAAGATTTTTTTTAGTTGTTGAGTTGTAATAGTTCTTTTATATTCTGAATAATAAACCTATATCAGCTATATGGCTTATAAATATTTTCTCCCATTTTTTGAATTGTGTTTTCACTTTGTTTTTTCTTTTAAGATCTTAATTTTTTTAAGTAATCTCTACACCCAGTGGGGGACCCAAACTCACAATCCTGAGATTGAGAGTCATGTGCTCCTCTGACTGAACCAGCCAGGTGCCCCCTTTTTTCACTTTTCTTGAAAGTATACTTGAAACACAAAAGCTTTCAAATTTGATGATGTCCAATTTATCTATTTTTGTGTATGCGTGTGCATTTGGTGTCATATGCAAGATTCCATTGCCAAATCCAAGATTGTGAAGATTTACCCCTATGTTTTCCTTTAAGGGTTTTATAATTTGGCTTTTATATTTAAGTTTTAATTCATTTTGGGGCACCTGGGTGGCTCAGTCGATTAAGTGTCCGACTTCAGCTCAAGTTATGATCTCGCGGTTCCTGGGTTGAAGCCCCGCATTGGGCTCCGTGCTGAACACTTGCTCAGAGCCTGGAGCCTGCTTCAGATTCTGTGTCTTCTTCTCTCTCTGCCCCTCCCCAGCTTGCACTCTCACTCTCTCAAAAATAAATAAATGTAAAAAAAATTAATAAAGGTTTTCATTTTGAGTTAGTTTTTGTGCATAGTATCATGTAAGGGTTCAGCTTCATTCTTTGTGGCTATTCTGTCGTCTCAGAATCATCTGTTGAAAAGACTGTTCTTTGTTCTTCCTCCATTGAATAGTTTTGGCATCTTTGTTGAAGATTGTTTGATATATGGGTTTATTTCTCGACCCTTAATTCTGTTTCATTGATCTCTTTGTCTTTTGTTCCAATAGTACCAACACTACCTTGGTTACTGTTATTTTGTAGTAAATTTTAAAGTGGAGAAATGTGAGTTCTTAAACTTTGTTCTTTTTTCTTCTTTCTTTAAAGTTTATTTATTTACTTTGAGAGAGTGCCAGCAGGGGAGGGGCAAAGAGAGAGAAAGAGAGATCCCAAGCAGACTCCACACTGTCAGCACATGGCTGGACAGGGGCTCAATCCCACGACTGCAAGTTCACAACCTGAATGGATATCAAGAGTTGGACATTTAACCAACTGAGCCATCCAAGAACCCCTGTTCTTCTTTTTCAAGATTGTTTGGCTGTTCTTAATTCCTTACATTTCCATATGAATTTTACTCTCATGTTGTCAATTTCTACAGTGAAGCCAAGTGGGCTTCTGATAGAAATTGCCTTGGATCTGTAGATTCATTTGGGGTGTTTTACCATCTTAACAATAGTAGGTCTTCTACTTACATGGATGTCTTTCCATTTATTTAGATCTTTAATTTCTTTAAACAGTGTTTTGTGGTTTTGATAGTGTAAGTTTGTACTTTCATTAAATTTGTTCCTAGAGTATTTATTCTTTCTGATGCTATTGTAGATGAAATTATTTCCTTAATTTCATTTTCAGGTTGTTAATTACAACTGTATAGAAGCATTTAATTTTTGTATATTATGTCCTGTAACCTGCCGAGTTCATTATTCTAGAAGGTTTTTTGGTGAATTTCTTAGGATTTTTTGAATATAAGATCATGTCATCTGCAAATAGAGAATTTTAGTTAATCCTTTCCAATCTGAGTGGCTTTTATTTCTTACCTAATTGCCCTCCCTGCCTAGACCTTCTAAAATGGTATTGAATAGAAGTAGCAAGAATGAATATCCTTCTCTTGTTCCTGATCTTAGGGAGAAAGCTTTCAGCCTTTCACCATTAAGTACAAAGCTAGCTGTGGGTTTTTAACAGATGCTCTTTATCAGGTTGAAGAAGTACCTTTTTATTCCTACTTTGTTTAGTGTTTTGTGGTGTTGTTTTTTATTTTGCTCAGTGTTTTTTTGTCATGAACAAGTATTGAATTTTATCAAATGCTTTTTGTGTATTTATTGAAGTGATCATGTGTTTTTGTTCTATTGATATGGTACATTACATTAGTTGATATCTGGGTGTATAATGCCAGCCTTGCATTACTAGGATAAATCCCTCTGGGCCATAGTGTATAATTCTTTTTGTATATTACAGAATTGGTTTGCTAGTATTATATTTTCCATTGACTGAGGATTTTGGTATCTACAGTGATAAGAGATACTGGTCTTATAGCCCTTTTTCTTGTGATTTCTCTGGTTTTGGTGTCAGAGTAGTACTGACCTTATAGAATGAGTTGGGAAGTGTTTCTTCTGTTTTGGGGAAGAGTTTGTGAATAATTGGTATTCCTTAAATGTTTGGTAGAATTTATCTGTGTAGTCTCCTGGGCTTGAATATTTCTTAGTGGGCAGGTTTTTGTTTGTTTTTTTTTTTTACTAATTCAGTCTCTTTACTTATTATAGGTCTCTTCAGATTTTGTTTTTTTTCTGTTCTTAAGCCAGTTTTGGTAGTTTGTGGCTAAGAATTGTCCATTTTGTTCATCTAAGTTAAATTGACCATAGTATTCATTCATACTGTTTTATTTCTGTTACTTCTGTAAGATCTGTGTGCCCCTCTTTCATTTCCATTTGAGAAGACCCCCGCCCCCCACCAGCTTCTTTTTGGTCAGTCTCCCTAAAGGTTTGTCAACTTTGTTAATCTTTTCAAAGAACCATTTTGTTGAATTTTCAGTTTTTCTATTTTCTATTTCATTAATTTTCATTCTAATATTTATTTCTTTCCTATTGCTGGCTTTATTTAGGTTTTGTTTCCTTTTCTTTTTCCAGTGTCTTAAGATAGAAATTTAGATTATTAATTTAGGATCTTCTATTTTATTTTATTTCATTTTATTTTATTTTATTTTATTTCATTTTATTTTATTTTATTTTATTTTATTTTAATTTTATTTTATTATTTTATTTTATTTTATTTTAATGTTTATTTTTGAGAGAGAGAACATGTGTGCACGCAGGGGAGGGGCAGAG